CTTTATTAAGTTAAAACAATTTGCAATATTTTTTCAGGTCATGCATCTCAAGGAAAGTGCTGCTAGTTTCTCCCCTCCTCCCGCACCTGCTCATCGGAAGCCTATGGCAAAGAGTGTTGAGCAAGTGAATCAACCTCCTATAACAGCAACTGATGGCCCAGCTTCCAGCATAGATTCTGTTAATGATGCGAATAACCAAGAGGGAGAAGGCATGCAACTATGCTATTGTGCTCCCATTTTCTACTCCCTTCGTCCTAATTTATGTGACACTCTTTCTTTTTTAGTCGGTCCCAAAAAGAATGTCAATTTTCCTTCTTTACCCTTAATGCATTAATTTACAATCACAAATATCTAAGGTCTGTTTTAGACCACAAGTTTCAGAAGTATTCCTTTCTTTATTAAACTTCATGTCGAGTCAAACACCGCTACATAAAATTAGGACGAAGGGTGTATCTCTTTTTAATTGTCTTGCTGCTAATATATTTGATATCTTATTCATATATTCGCTTTTAACTGCTTCCAGCAACTGAAGGCTACTCAATCTACATAAAAGGCTTGCCTATGAGTGCAACTGTGGCGTTACTTGCAGATGAGTTCAAGAAGTTTGGGCCTATCAAGACTGGAGGCATTCAAGTCAGAAACAGAGTATGTGGTTTGCCCTAACATTCTAACTAATTAAGGAAAAAGCAGAGTAATTTTTGGTTAATGGATTTCCTTTTTGGGCGCTCGCTGATTTTGTAACCAATTGTAATTGGCGGATGACAGCATCAGGGATTTGCGTTCGGTTTTGTGGAATTTGAGGTGGCAAGTGCTGTGCAAAAAGCTATTGAGGTATCTTCAATTTCGTTCTCTATATATCATGTCTAGTTTATTAGTCTAACAATTGTATTGTTTTGAGAATCATTGATAAAATTTATTTTTAATGCCGATTAAGATTATTGTGGCTTACTGTCTTAGCTAATTTATTTATAGCTATCTGAAATGCCAGGTCTAGGCAAATTGCGACTTGGTATACTTAATCTGCTCTGTATTTCGATAAAACTTTATCAGATTTCCCTACAATTTCAATTGCTGTGATGAATCCTTGTAGAAGATGAAATATTTGGGATTCTTCGGAGAGACCAAATTATTCCTTTTTAATTCTTTAGTGGTCCATCAAATAGAATGGCTAAATTTCATGTAGAATGTACTAGTTATGAGCCTTGTGAAAGTTTTTGTGTGTTCAATTCTTCTTAGAAAAATAGTATCTCCATGTATTAGAGTTAATACCGGAAATGCTTAAGATAACTTACATAGTCCTTATATTATGTACACTTTTATATGGTGTGTTCCAACTCATGTATGTTCTTTTTTGTCTCATGAACTTCTATCTAGGTAGGTTTCATCATTAGTCTTACTTTACTATTTTGGGAATCTATTGTTTCTTCTTTTCAAGTTTTATATGATGCAATTACCCTTCTGATCTTCCAAGTGTAGTAAAGTTTAACCACTGGCCTTACATTGTCTCTTCAATGTAAGGCCTCGGCTATAGAAGACCCCAACTATTTCCAGACCTGGTTTAGTTGATAAATCACTTTTTAAACGTTCTTATAAAATGAAGAAATTGATTTTACATAGTCAAGAGTACATAAGTATTAATCTTTTAGTGATATCATAATAATTCGAGTATTTTTATGCTGGTATTAACCTAACATTTTTCTTGATACGTTTTTTCCTCTATATCAGGCATCTCCAATTTCAATTGGTGGACGCCAAGCTGTTGTTGAGGAAAAGAAGTCTACAAATTCTCAAGGCAAGTTTAATATTATCCTTCTGAAGTAATTAGAGAATTACTGTATAGTTAATTGACGGGAAATTTTGAAAAAAATGCACAAATGACATGTGGTAGAGTTCTTGAGAACAAGAAATTGAACCAACTTTTAGCCCCAGGAGCTGTTCTTTGTATTTCAGTTTTCGATTATCTTATCAGTTCTGTTCTCTCTAGCACTGGGTCTTACGTTTATCGATTGTTTTTTGAATTAATTATCTTCCTCCTTACAGGTAACAACAGGGCTAGATTTCAGTCCGGAAGGGATTTTGGTTACAGAAATGGAGTAAGAGGTCGAGGAAACTATGGAGGTGGCAGGGGTTACAGTCGAGGTGATTTCGAAGGAAGAACTGAGTTCAATAACAGGGGTGGCAACCGTGGCTGGCCATCAAACTGTGGTGGGGGCAATGGATACCAGCGAACTGATAACACAGGTGGCAATGCTGCACGACCGAATCGTGGAGGAGGGATGCCTAATGGAACAGCCAAACACACAACAGCATGGGTTTCTACTGCACCAGAAATATAGTAGCTTAAAAGCGAAATTTGAACTGATTATAGTAATTCTGAAATTGGCATTTTCTAACCGTTGACGTCCCCGGGTAGGAGAAGTTTTGTCAGGAGCAACGATAGTTTTGCAAGAGCTCTTTTTGCTAATTTTCAGTTCCCTAATTTCCCCTATAATTGGTATAGGTGGGGTAGGAATTGAAGGTAGGAATTTAACTTTAGGTAGCTTTGGTTAAGTAGTATATAGGGTATCTAAGTCCCTAGGAAGAGATTATCCAGTCATTTTTATAGCCCTCTATATATCAGTTGAATTATTTTTGTTTGGAGGCTATGTTGTGGCAATTGTGGAAATGAGTTTATATTAGCTGTTAATCTCTCATGGATTCTATTATCAGTGGCAAGTAACAGGTACCCGGTGGAATAGGATTATCAGCCCATACAAACGTAGAATGCTGTATAATTAGATTATTTGTACTATGCTAGAGAGAACAAAACTATTTACTTGATAAGTAGTGTAAATTTCTTCATGTTCAATTCATAAGGTTTGTCGCACCAATTTCCAAATCCGGATAAAGGAGGAGGTTGCGACAGCGTAGAAGTTAATTTATAGTAAATCGACACAATACGTAATTGTTGCTGTAGCTAATTTAATTCATAGAAAACCAATTTCATTAGAACCCATCACCACAGTGCACCTTCTTGTTATTCTTGTTTACATGATGTAGCCATCCAAATCCTGTAAATGTCTTAGAAATCTTAGACAAAATTAGGCTTTCCCATCCCCAAATTCATCTTTCCAGCTGAAAACTTTAATGCCTGTAAACAACACAACTGCTGTTCATCCATTTCTTCTTCAACCTCATCATATTCTTTTTTATATCCCTTCGATTCTCCTTTCTTTTTCAAACTATTTTCCCTTTTTCCCTTGTTCATTTTTGTGTCCATTTCATGTGTTTCCCACAACAAATCCATTCCTTCACTATTGCTATAACTAGCATTGTATCTTTCCTCAAAAAGTTTGCATGCTAATGTCCTTTTCCATTCTTTTTCTTTCCTCATTGATCCATAACTAATTCCCACATTATCAAGATTTTCATTAAGTCCCTTAGAATGACATTTACTATATTTCTCACTAATGCCGCCTCCTTTTGTTTTTCAATGTTTTTTACAACTCTTTTCACTTCCACATTCTGACTCCAGTTGTGTTTTCAAACTCATCTACTTCTTTGAAGAAGTTCTCCAATGTCTTATCCTCTATGACATGCTTAGTACTCTCCATTTCAGCTGAATTTTCTACTAAAGACTCATCTTTGTCATGACATGAAGAATCAAGGAAAGGTGTGGTTTCACTTTCCTCAGCTGATGTATAGTCCAAGAATTCAACAGAGTTTTCTTGAACATCAATCATCGACGTGCCAAACACGATCTTGTAGGCTTCACATTCCTCCAACTTGTCAGCTTCATCATCCCTTTGTGATTTTAATCTTGATTCAAAGAATTTTTTGGAAGTAGAGTTCTGGTAGAGGATGAGATTTGGAGAGATAGTAAGAAGGGCAAGAAGCAAAAGGGTAGTTGTAATAAAAAGAGGAGAGAGGAAAGACAAGAGTTTAAGAAGGTAAGGTGAGAAGAAAATGAGGTAGGAGAAGTAGAGAGGGTGAGATAGAATGAAAGAAAAGACGTGAAAAAAGTATGACATGAGAAGACTCAAAATTTGAGGCCTAGTTGAAGTAGTACAACTTTCTGCCGACGTTCTTCCTCCTTTCCTTCTTCAGTTTCTTTAGCCGCCGGTCGCCGCTCCGGTCGTGGCTTCCCCACTTCGTCGCTGCCGCCTCTGGTTGCTTCGATTTACCGGTAAGTTTTCCGATCTCAGCAATAACAAACCGGAGAAGACCGTAAATTTACACTGTAGCTGTCAAGTTCTCGTGTTTCTGTTTTTGCCGTCTTGAACAGCACCAAAAGGTCATTTCTTCAAGTGTAACAATCAGAAAAATAACTTTTCTTCATCTGCTCTTATTTTCATGTTGCATTTCACATTGGAACACTGTTAATTTTGCAGTTATTTCTTATTGTAAACTACACATCTTAGAAATTGTAATTGAAACCTGTCAAGAGAGAACCAAACAGATCCCTACCCGTTTTTCAACCTAGCAGAAAAAAAAAATTCAGATCTTGAAAAAAAAAAAGAAAGAGTTCAGCTTATTGGCTCGTGGTTTTCTGGGATTCCAAGAGTGTTTAAACTCTCCAAAATTGCTGGTTGAATTGTTGAATTTGTGGCTGCCTTGGCTAGGTCTTGTCGTCTCCATTTCTGCTCTGTATTAGTCTTTTCTTCCTATTCTCTCTTCTGCTTTTTGTGGGTGTGTGTGGGCGTGTTCTGTTTTCTTGGACAGGTGCCTTATTTTCCCGGCGAGGATTTCTGGCAAGCTACAGTACTTCAGGCGACTCCCGTTCAGACTTTTGGCAGGACGCAACAGAACTACACGTTACGATAAGCTTCAGGAAATCAAAGCCTACTTTCAGGTTTTTCCACCGGGAGTTAGTACCTCCCGCTCTCTTGTTTACGTTGTACACCTTTTCACGTATTTTACCTAGCATTCCGTGTGCGGTTTACTCTGTTGCTATCTAGTTTGCCTCTTTTTGCTTACTTCGCTATAGTGCGTCACTACTCTCCATAGTCGGTTGGAGGGATAGTGGCCGCGACGGGGGATGATAGTGTAAGGTCATGTCCTCGGGG